TGTCCGCCGCTTTTTTCCGGCTTTTAAAAAAGCCGGAAAAGAGCGTCTACACTGGCCCCGATCCTCCGGAAAAAGTGCCCTTTTCCGGAGGGTCTTATTCCTATTTCAAAGTATTTTTATTTAAATGCCGCGGGGGATATTTAAATCCCCCGCGGATTTCCCTATGACGACTGGTGAAATTTACATGCCCCTTCCGGAAAAGGGGCCAGTGTAGACGTAGCCGACTAGTATGGAAAAAGGGAATTAAACAACTATTTGCAGAAGAACTAAGGGTTACCAAATTAAAATAATCAATAGCAGCTTTAAAACAAAAGGGAATACTTCTTTACATAATGCACAGCCAACCTATGAAACTCCTTGCCAGAGGATGTTGTGAAAAGATTATAACAGGGTTCAAAAAAGACCTAGATAAAATAATGGAGGATAGGTCCATCAATAGCTCCCTAGTCTTTGCCAGAAGCTAGGAATGGGAAATGAGAGAGGGATCACTTGATGATCATCTGTTCTTTTCATTTCCTTTGGGGGCACCTGGTATTGGCCACTATCAGAAGACAGGATACTGTGCTAATGGAGTTTTGGTCTGACATAGTAGAGCTGTTTCTAGGTATGTTCTTAATAATGAAAGGTATGTTTATCTATGTTAAAACCAAGTTATACAAGGTGGTTAGCTGTACACTCTTGTGTATATAGAATATTAGTGTTGTGGGATGCCCTGTTTAACTATACAGGCAGTCTCCGACTTACGCGGATCCGACTTATGTCGGATCCGCACTTACGAACGGGGCTTTCTCGCCCCGGAGCTCGCAGGCAGTGGTCCGCCACCTCGACCTCCAGGGCAAGAAAAGCTGCTCCCGGTGCCCCTGGTCTGCTGGGGACCGTCTCCAACAGACCAGGGGCACCGGTAGCAAAGCCGCAGCAGCGGCGGGTCCCGCGCCAGAGCAAAGCCTCAGAGGCGAGGAAAGGGCAAGAAAAGCTGCTCCCGGTGCCCCTGGTCTGCTGGGGACCGTCTCCAACAGACCAGGGGCACCGGTAGCAAAGCCGCAGCAGCGGCGGGTCCCGCGCCAGA